ACTGAAGGAGATCCAGAATTGAATACATATATATCCTACACATCTATTTTTTAGTTGCGGAAACAAAAGATCTGGTAAAACACAAAAGGATGATTGGATTATATCTTCTAATTTGACTTGTAAACTGAAGTCAGAAATTTGAAAGGATCATAACTTATAATTTATTTGGTAAACAGGACAGACAAATTTGACAGACAGATATAACTACGTATATGGTAATATAGATAAGGGTTAGATAAAATAAGAGAAAGACCTAAGAAATCAAAAAAATATAGATTTTAGTATGGTGAAGGTCCTCCTTTTTGGGCAATTAAAGCCACAATTCTCCAAGGTATTGATTCATACAAATTGTGAATTGTTTCCAGAGGAATTTAACCCATTCTTTGGTTAAAACTCTTTCTGGCTCTTTTAAAGACAATGACAGCAAGGCTCAACTTCTGACTTTTATCTCTAAAATTGAACATAAATGCTTGACAACATTCAGGTCTGGCGATTGTGGTGGCTAAACAAGATGCTCAACTTCATTAAAATGTTTCTTGTGCCATTTATTAACAACTCCAGTGGTATGGATTTGGGCATTATCATCTTCAAAGATGGCATTCAGAACCATTGGACAAACTTGTTCCTCCAAAATTCCCAAATAGTCACAGCTGTTGATTCCTTCACAAGGAGAAATCATTGGTCTGCTAGATTTCCAAGACATAGCACCCCAGATCATCACAAATCCCCAAATCAAGTTTTATGGTTGAGAGGATGCAGTTAGGATTAAATGACTCTTTTTAGCTGTCTCCACATATAAACCTGGCCAGAGGTTGGAAATAAGTTAATAATGATTTGTCAGAGAAAATCACATTCTTCATAGCTTAAGGAACCAATTCTGGAGGTTTTTAAACTACTCTTAATGCTTTAAAGCAATTGTATTTGAAACCAGAAGTTTTCTAATTGCAGATGTCTGCAGTAATTTCAACATCCATGGTCTTTTAATTGTCCATCACAATTTGCTTTAAGAACTGACTATCTCTCTCAGACAACTTTGACTTTCAACCACAACTGTGCGTTGCTGAGGACATTATTCCTTCTCTTTCAAAAGCAGTCATTACTTTTGAGACAGAACCTCTACGAGCATCAAGCATTCAGGAAGTTTCTGTCACACAAGCACCAGCCATACAGGCACCAACAATTTGCATTTGAAAGCCAAAAAGGTCCTAATGCCATTCATAAGTTATGTTATAGGTTAGGTTGTAGAAACCAAAAAAATTACCAAAAATATTTGTGCAGGATAAAGTGTCAATTACCAGCAATAATAAATAGGTAATTAAAGATAAAATATCTCATTCTTTTCCTTGTTTACAACATGTTCAAAAATTAAAATATCAAATGTTGGCATTTCCCATATTTTATGCAATTAGATAATAATTAGGCAAGGGGGTGAATTTTGGGTGAATTTTGCCTCATTCAAATAAGCATTTTTGTCTCATTCACAGGAGGTTTCTGTCAATTTTCTGGCATCGTGGATAAGAGTACTATCATGTATAAAAATAATGAAATTTTTAACTAGATTAGAGAATTCAAAGTAAACATGTAACTAAAAATTATCTATTTTTTATACAATGAAATAGGTTCTAAAATGTTACTTGTTTGCCACAAAGTACCTAGGTAGGTATGTAATTACATTCACATGCACAAAGAATGATATTTTCTCATTTAATTACTAAAATATTGAGGGCAGTTTGGAATTCTGTATAGGTAATATATTATCATGTTAACAAAAAAAATGTATTGAAAAATTTACCACCTTACACCTTCCACCAAAGTGACAATTGATACTCTTACACTGAGCTCGTCAGAAACTGCGGACACCCGGACAGCTGCACTTCCTCTAGTCTAACTCGCTTGCGTGTGGTTCGAAAACCGATAAAAAGTCGGTGACTCTTCCCTCCAATACATCGCTAGTCGTGTATCCGTATCGACAAATTTGTAATGAATATGTTCCAAAATAAAAAATAAAAAGTATGTAAACTTTTGCAGAAAATTCTCACGATTTCACCAATACCAACAAAGTTTTCGAATCCACACGGAATGATGGGATAAACTGCTAATCTTTCACGGCATATGGCAACATCGTGTTTACTGTTGACATTAGACAAGATGGCGTCAGACACCTTGTTTTGGTGATGTAAAGTTCAATTTCATAATAAATAGATTTGATCCACATTTCACAGTGACATTTAAATGATGGAAAATTTCTCAAAATTTATTGTACTACCACGTATGTTTGATACATAAGCTTCTTGTCCTTTTGATGAACAGAGTTTATTTAGGTTCTATTGACTGTAATAGGTAGAAAGATGCGACATGTTTGCGGCCATCCAACGATCGGTTGACGGCTTTGACTCTTGATACCACTGTACAAATATTGCGGTGGACACATCTTCCAGAAGTTTCAATGCAGAGATTCTTATTTAAAGGATAATAAATTGATTTGTAGTTGTTTACTCAAATTACTCCTACCTATAGATACAAATGAACATTATTCAATTTATTTTAAGCGTTTTTCATGAATTTGCATTAAATATTTATTTTGAAATTAACCACCATGTCAAAGTAACAAAATAATTTGTTATAGTTTTAGGCTTCTGAAAATATTTCAAACCTCTATCAGAAATATCATAATTAATCATTCTCTTGCCTGAGTATATTAACGTTATGAACCACGCTGCTGCTGCCGCAATCGTCATTTGTTTTCGTAGTTGCATGCCTGGCACCTGCTTTTGTTGTTCTATTTAGTCTCGCTCCCATGAATTGCATGTTTAGTGTGTGCATCATCGAAAAGTCTGCTTGACAGCGTAGTCACAGTAGCTGTAATTACTTTATTAAGTTTACTTCTTTGCAGTCATATTAAGAGACAAATCTTCAACGAACTAATACTTTGTATAATTTTAATTGTTGAGTGAAAGCTGCGCCTGCAGGCTTGCTGGCAAGCAACATTTCCAAGTGAATTACTTTATAGAAACTTAGCATACCCATACGTGTTTTAAGCCTATAAGAAGTTCATTTTTTTGCCTCAAATAATGTTGTATCAAAAAACTGGTGTAGGTGTATTGGGAATAATATATGAACCGTCAATATTAGAATTCCATCCTGCACTGGAGGGTGTAAGCCTAAGGTGGTAAATTTTTCGATACATTTTCGTTTGTTAACATGATAATATATTACCTATACAGAATTCCATACAATAACAGCAACACTAACATTTGTCTTCACATAAGTGGCACCTAAACACATGATAATGCAGTGACTGCATTATTGCAGTCTGTCTGTCTGCCATCAGTGCCATGACTGCAACTAAGCAATCTTCAAGGAAATATTTTGGGTTGACTTGTTGCTATTGTGTTCTGCACTCTGCAGGATATTTTGGTGGGACTGTGGGAGCGTTGAAGTAATGCAGATTGCAGACTGTGAAAGTGGAAAATTTTTTAAAACTACCTACATGTTTGCAAAGTACAAAAAAACAATTTTTTTCAATCAAACAAAAATATATGACTGATGACACTAGAGCTGCTCAGCTGCAAGATTTCATACTACTGAAAATATCTGAAATTGTATATTGGAGCTGGCTGACCTGCAATATTTCAGAAAAAATAATACTTTTTCCAACCTGCAGTGTGGAAAAGTGGAAAAAATCTCCTTTTAGGGCAGCGAGCAGCAACTAGAGCTTTACCGCCATTGCAATAAAGGAAAATGCAATAGCACAAATGCACAATAGAAAAGGACAGAGGAAACAGAAAATTATTGCATATACAACACTATAAGTAACAGTATAAACTGCATGGCATGCATGCCAGCATGCGTATATTGATATATAATAGTACTATTAGGCACTATGTATATTGTAACAAACAATGAATTTACATAGATATTACGATAGGCTATCCAAGTAGCGGAGTAGGTATCCGGGCCGGTGACCAGGCCGGGACCGATACTAACGATAGCTATAGCCTAGCTACTAGCTAGTATTGGAATTTAGAAGCTACTGCTACAGCAGGCATCAAACAAAATACAAATGCTTGCTTAAACAAATTAGGATGTCATCCCTAATTGGTCATAAAAACCATGCCCTAACTTGCGCCACATGAGATTGTGAAGTTAACTGAAAGTCCAGCCTGGGGGGGCATCATTTTTTTTTTAAATTTGATTTGAAGGCTTCGGGTATGCTGGTAGCACACCTCCCAGCCTGAGCACAACTGGGATTTTGGTCACTTCACTTCACTTGTTGGTTCTACTTTAGTTTTTATTTAATTTTAGCACTTCCACCAGCCAGTGTGGCAGTAAATTGTAAAGAGAGAAAGAGATGGATTAATTAGGCTTTGAAGAACTTTATAGCCTGGTCACCATATTGCAGCTTAGCAAATATTGACCCAGATGATGGATGGCAGCAGTGCGTCTCCTGTCTCTTATACACATCTAGATGTGTATAAGAGACAGNTACATAACACTTATCAGCATGTACATAACACTTATCAGCATGTACATAACACTTATCAGCATGTACATAACACTTATCAGCATGTACATAACACTTATCAGCATGTACATAACACTTATCAGCATGTACATAACACTTATCAGCATGTACATAACACTTATCAGCATGTACATAACACTTATCAGCATGTACATAACACTTATCAGCATGTACATAACACTTATCAGCATGTACATAACACTTATCAGCATGTACATAACACTTATCAGCATGTACATAACACTTATCAGCATGTACATAACACTTATCAGCATGTACATAACACTTATCAGCATGTACATAACACTTATCAGCATGTACATAACACTTATCAGCATGTACATAACACTTATCAGCATGTACATAACACTTATCAGCATGTACATAACACTTATCAGCATGTACATAACACTTATCAGCATGTACATAACACTTATCAGCATGTACATAACACTTATCAGCATGTACATAACCCTTATATACACACGTCGTTGGCGTATCGCAGGAAGAAGCTCCTGTACTGGAACACGCCGCACACCGCCATCAGGAGCCAGAACAAGAACAGGTACCCTGAGCTCTGCACGCCGTTCTTCTTCTCGAATATTACGAAGATGGCTTGCAGCAGCTGCAATATATAACTTTTATCAGTAAAAATACAGACAAAATGATATTTGATGATGGTTTTCTACTTTATTAAATCTTCCTACAACAAACATGGCTTGCAGCAGCTGCAATATACAACTTTTATCAGTAAAGATACATGCAAAATGATATTTAAAGATGGTTTTCTATTTTATTAAATCTTCCTACATTTATTAAATCTTCCTACAACAAACATGGCTTGCAGCAGCTGCAATATATAACTTATATCAGCAAAGATACATGCAAAATGATATTTAAAGATGGTTTTCTATTTTATTAAATCTTCCTACATAAAAGAAACGACTTCTATCAGTAAAGATACAGACAAAATCATATTTAAATATGGTTTTCTAATTTATTTATCTTCCTACATCAAAGAAAGGAACATCATCAAAAACAATCTGAACAGAATATCAACATAACAACTTTACCATGTTTGATGGTTAAAACTGATAAGACATGCAATACGTTTATGCTGCTGATATTGACTTGTCATTTGTCTATTGAGAAAAAGATGCAACACAAAAATCCTATGCTAAACAAAGCACTCACAATGGACATAAAGAGTATGATGGGAACGAGGTAGTAGTTAGGGTAGACATTGGTAGATGCATCACTGCCCTGCACTATTTGGTAGATGAGATCTGACAGTTCCAGCACCAGCAGCACTGCTGAACAAACCTGCCGATAACAAATAATAAATATTATCATTTCAATGACAAATATTATCAATTGAGGTCATTTTGTGAACATTGTAGGCTACGTACGTGAGTTTGATATTGATTTGGTGCAAGAAAATTAAATCAGGGATTATTTCTCTAGATAAATATGAGTGAAATGATATCATTGAAGGATACCTATAATTGATATCAATAATAGGTATAATTGAAGTAGGTATTATCATTAAATAATATCATTTGGTGCAAGAAAACTAAATCAGGGATTTTTTTAAAGATGAATATGAAAATCAGAATGATCATAATAATCAGGTTACAACAGAAGAACTCAATTCATGTCAATGATTCAAACTCAAACTCAAGTGGTGTCTGATGACCAAACATACCTACCAATAAAATTACTATATTATTTTAGAATGCAAAAACTTGTAGGTAAAAAAACTAACAAAAATGTTCTATGGCTGAAATGCAAAATTTCCAACTTTCAAATACTTCAATTGAGACCCTTTAACTTTACAAGACAAAATAACTTTACAATTGGAACATTTCAATGAAATTTATAAATATATTAGAGATCTTGTCTGGGCAGCCCTAAAGTGAAACTGATGAAAGCCCACCAACTACAATAAATTTCAATATATTTAATAATTAATTATTTTTGCTATAACTGTTTCATTTATACACTGCAAACATGAACATGATTTTTCTTCTTGTTCTATACCTACACCATAAATCTGAACATCCACAAATTTTTGCACTTGTAGGCCCATTTAGTTCAGCATCAAATTTAAGCATGTGATGAACTGTGGTAGAATACGAAAAGACATACCTACCAGTAGGTATGGTATCTAAGATAATATAAATCATTCAGTGGGCAGGTTTACAACATCAAATGGAGATTTAATTCTCAAATAGAATGTATAATATGTGGAAAAATAACAGTAATGGAATATTTTAATGAAACAATATATATCTCACCAGCTTAGAGATATTAAGAAAGGTCCAGGGAATGAGCTTGTCCCTGCTGGACTTGATGATGTACAACTCAAGAGCCGCAAAGAGCCACAGGAAGCCACATGGCAACCACACCAGCACCGTCTCCTCAAAGCATGGAGTGAAGTGCGGGTCTGTTGTGTTCCATGTCAGTTGTAGGTCCTGGTTAGACAAGAATTTTCTGTTAAAGATTCTTCATGCTACTATTAAATCAGAAGAATTTTATTACCATAAACAGTTCATTCAAACCTATTGGTCCCCAACAATGCAAAACTCAACATTGAGTGTGCAAGGTCATTTGCTAGGCAAAGTACAGGTACCTACCTATATACAAGAAACAAAATTGAAGAAAGCTATCAAGATGGCAACCATAAAACAGGGTGACTACAACTGTTTTGACATTTACTTTTTCTATGTACCTACATATTGTGCCTATCAACCAGTGAATTAACCGGCTCCATAGGTAGGTATGTACCATACTTACCTACTCATAATAACCAAAGACCAATAAGTGCCATATGGGCTCCCACACCTTCAGGAACTATAAGGAAGATGAAGTAGATAAGAGTTGTAGATTTAATAAGAGACAAGAAAAAAGTAAAGCCAAAGCTGCCAAAAAGTAATGGCATAGGCAAGTCTGTTTTGTTCAACAGAATGCATTGAAATTATGTTATGAAGCCTGAGGGACAAACTGTTTTGAGTGAACAGGAGGAGAGCATTATTGTTAAAAGACTTGTTTAATGATCTTGGCTACCAACTTCAGCCTAAGGACCTAAGCATCCAGGTAGCTCCCTAAGTCAGGACCTACCTGGATGAGCATGAGCAAAATATCTCTAAGTTTTCAATGAAACTTCCAGGTTCTGACTGGGCTTCTGCCTTCAGCAAACGGCATAGCAATCCAAGTAAAAGACAAGCAAATGATATTAAAAGATCAGGAGCAGCTGTGGGAGAGTAAACTCTGAGAGAGAACCATTCAAGGCTTGCAGAGGAGATAATAGACTCTCCTCTTATCCACATACTCAAAATTCCAAAATTGGCTTGAGACCATGCATATATAAAAAAGGATAATTTGTAATAATAGATTAAAGTTTGGATCGAATTTTCATCAATTTGAATTTTCTTAGAAAATATTTGGAAAAGAAACAAATAGGGAAGTTTTAGTAATAATAAATGTGATGCAAATGCTGAAATTAGACAACACAAGGCAATGCAAAA